GCAGCGATGGCGTCTGACGTCATGGGAATGTGAAGCGTTTCTGAGCATGCGTAGGGTCTGATGTGGACCAGTGCGCTCCTTCTTCAAGCATAGGGAGAACAACTGTTGACAGGAGCCTTATATGGAGCACAGGGGAGTGATAGACAGGACCGGAGGTAGGGACTAGAGAGAATGAAGGAAACAATAGGCAGAAAAACAACGGAATAGTGTCTTTCTTGGTGTCATAAATTGAAACGTAGATATAGACAAAAAAGTCATATATAAAAACAATGCATGGGAACAAGACTAACAATGAATTAATAGTTTTAAAAACATTTGATGGAAAAAAATAAAAATTAACATAATTAAACAATATAATTTATATAATGTAAATTATATAAATAATAATAAACAATGGATGGATGATGAATAATTAGTGAATCATTAGTGAATGATAAGATGAATGAGATAAACACAAATAAGCATGTGGAAAATAATATGACAAATATAATGACTTGGCTGGTATTTCACAACCTGGTATGAATGTATATTAAACATTATGAACATGGAAATGGTGAATGATGTGTATGCATACACACATACACACATCAGTATGTCAGTGTGGAGTGATGGATAATGGATATTAATGTACACATATATACATATTAATATCTCAATATAAATGTATATTGTAGATAATATAGGTAACCAGAATTGGTACATCCTGTATATACAGTCATGGCCGAAATTGTTGGCACCCTTGATATTTTTCCTGAAAATCAAGTATTTCACACAAAAAAAGGTATTGCATTAACACATGTTTTGCTATACACATGTTTATTCCCTTTGTATGTATTGGAACAAATATAAAACAGAGGCAGAAAAGCAAATATGACATAATGTCACACAAAACCCCAAAAATGGGCTGGACAAAAGTATTGGCACCCTTAACTTAATATTTGGTTGCACACCCTTTGGAAAACATAACTGAAATCAGTCGCTTCCTATAACCATCAATAAGCTTCTGACACCTCTCACCCGGAATTTTGGACCACTCTTCCTTTGCAAACAGCTCCAGGTCTCTCTTATTGGAAGGACACCTTTTCCCAACAGCAATTTTAAGATCTCTCCACAGGTGTTCAATGGGATTTAGATCTGGGCTCATTGCTGGCCACTTCAGAACTCTCCAGCGCTTCTTTGCCATCCATTTCTGAGTGCTTTTTGACGTATGTTTGGGGTCATTGTCCTGCTGGAAGACCCAGGATCTTGGACGCAAACCCAGCTTTCTGACACTGGGCCCTACAGTGCGACCCAAAATCCTTTGGTAATCCTCAGATTTCATGATGCCTTGCACACAGTCAAGGCACCCAGTGCCAGAGGCAGCAAAACAACCCAAAACATCATTGAACCTCCACCATATTTTACCGTAGGTACTGTGTTTTGTTCTTTGTAGGCCTCATTCCGTTTTCGGTAAACAGTAGAATGATGTGCTTTACCGAAAAGCTCTATCTTGGTCTCATCTGTCCACAAGACGTTTTCCCAGAAGGCTTTTGGCTTACTCAAGTACATTTTGGCAAACTGTAGTCTTGCTTTTTTATGTCTCTGTGTCAGCAGTGGGGTCCTCCTGGGTCTCCTGCCATAGCGTTTCATTTCATTTAAATGTCGACGGATAGTTCGCGCTGACACTGATGCTCCCTGAGCCTGCAGGACAGCTTGAATGTCTTTGGAACATGTTTGGGGCTGCTTATCCACCATCCGGACTATTCTGCGTTGCAATCTTTCATCAATTTTCCTCATCCGTCCACGACCAGGGAGATTAGCTACAGTGCCATGGGTTGCAAACTTCTTGATAATGTTGCGCACTGTGGACAAAGGCAAATCTAGTTCTCTGGAGATGGACTTGTAACCTTGAGATTGTTGATATTTTGCCACAATTTTGGTTCTCAGGTCCTCAGACAGTTCTCGTCTCCTCTTTCTGTTGTCCATGCTTAGTGTGGCACAGACAGACACACAATGCAAAGGTTAAGTGAACGTCTCTCCTTTTTATCTGCTTTCAGGTGTGATTTCTATATTGCCCACACCTGTTACTTGCCCCAGGTGAGTTTACAGGAGCATCACATGCTTGTAACATTCTTATTTATCCGCAGTTGTGAAAGGGTGCCAATACTTTTGTCCAGCCCATTTTTGGAGGTTTGTGTGACATTATGTCGAATTTGCTTTCTTTCCTCCCTTTTTTGTTTTGTCCCAATACACACAAAGGGAATAAAACATGTGTATAGCAAAACATGTGTTAATGCAATACGTTTCGTGAGAAATACATGATTTCCTGGAGAAATATCAAGGGTGCCACAATTTCGGCCATGACTGTATATCTCTGGCAGTACTTATTAAAATATATATGACCACCCACGAGATGTAGAATGTAAAATGTAGACCACCCCATATAATACCGAAGATAAATAGTAATGGTACCTAGCTCAAAGATAATTATAGCTATTTATCTCTACCTCCTCATTGAGGCCAGCTGGAGGCAGGGTGTCAAGGGCATGGATCCAAAAAGTTTCTCTATGACACAGCGTATGAAAATGCTCTTCCTCTGGAAGGTCAGTGGGCATGTTATGGACCTCTAAAAAGTGTCTGGGGGCACTATGCTCATCTTTCCCTACTTCTATTAGGTGACGATGCTTGCCAAATGTAGAACGGAGGTTTCGGATGGTACAACCCACGCAAAGGAGACCACAAGGACACGTAAGGCAATAAACTACAAAACTGGATGACAAATTGAAGAAATCATTCACTTTGTAGTCCCTGCTCTTGGCACTAAAACCCTTTTGGCCATGCTGGACAAAAGCACAGGTTTAACATAGAGCTTTCTGACATTGGTACATGCCTATAATGGGAGTGGAAAATAAAGAAGGTGCTGGAGTGGACCAAATGGATGTTAATTTACTAGGGGCTATTTTGTTTTTCAGGTTAGGAGCTTTTCTGAAGGTAATTGTGGGTTTATTAGGAATAATATCCTTCAGATGGGGGTCTTCCAATAGGATGTTCCAGTGTTTGAGTAGGATGTTATTCTTTTTCCGATATTTACCATGGAACCTGGTTGTGAATCTGACTGCATGGTCAGACTCGATGTTCAGCCTCATGGTTTTGAGTTTGCCTGGCAGAAATAAGGTATAGGCTTCTTCTATTAGTGACTCAGGGTAACCCTTTTCTCTGAATTTATTCTTAAGAATGAGACTTTGTTCAATACAGTCTGTTATTCTGGTGCAATTTTGTTGGAGGCGGCAGAATTGGCTCTGTGGTATGTAGTGTATCCATGTAGGATAGTGACAGCTCTGATAGTGTAAAAAAGGAATTTCCTGCTGTTAGCTTGGTATAGTTTTTAGCTATGATTTTTCCATTGTCCTGACTCATTTCTAAATTTAGAAAAGCAAGGCAATCTGGATTTTTCTCCTGTGTAAAAGAAATGCCAAAGGGATTGTCATTGCAGTGGGCAAAAAAATCCTCTGTAAGGGATGTGGATCCATCCCAAATGACAATGATATCATCTATGTAGCGACCAAACAAGATTAGGTGTGCTGCAAATGGGTTGTTATGCAGATATAGAGGTTTTCCCAATAGCCCATGGCTAAATTGACATAAGAGGGTGCAAAATTTGTGCCCATGGCAGTCCCTTGGAGTTGGAGAAAGACTTTTCCGTGAAAATTTTAATAGCTGTGTGTAAGGCAGAAATTGGTGGCTTCAAGTATAAAATCAGCTTGTTTAGGATTGATAATGGGGTCACGGGATAAAAAATATTGTAAGGCCATAAGTCCCAAATGGTGAGGAATGGACGTATATAGTGAACTGATGTCCAATGAGGCCCAACTATAAGTGGAGTTGCAATCATATGGTGTAAGTAAGTGTATGAGGTGGGCCCCATCTCTAATATAGGACTGCAAATCTTGAGCAAGTGGCTGTAAGAAAAGATCTATATATTGCGGAAAACCACCAGTAATGCTGTCCATAGAGGCAACTATAGGTCTACCAGCTGGATTGGTTAGGCTTCTATGCACTTTTGGGAGATGGTAAAAGTAAGGGGTCTTGTAAAATGTTTTACACAGGAAAGAGGCTTCTGATTTTGTGATCACTCCCTAAGAAAGAGGGAATTAGCTACTAATTGGAATTTAGGTAAAAGGTCTTTTTTGAGTTTGACATAAGTGATAGAATCTGAAAGTAATCTGGTGGCCTCGGCTAAGTAGTCTGTTTTGTATTGCAGGACTATGCCACCTCCCTTGTCCTCATGTTTAATAATGATGTTGGCGTTATCAGTGAGGTTTTTTTTAATGCTTTTTTCTCAGAGGGCTTGAGATTGTCAATTGGGGATGTATTAGTCTTGCATAATGTTAAAAAAATCTGAATAGACCACTTTGTAGAATGCCTCTATTAAAGGATCCTTTGCATGAGAAGGGAAAAGTGGATTTGGGCCTGAGGGTGGTATGTTTGATGGGTGGAGAGGTAGCCAGATGTTGAGTTAGTAAGCCGAGTTCTGAGTCTAGGTTATCATCGTAAAGTTGTTGAAGTGTAGTAAGGACATCTTGGTCAAGATCAAAGTCTAGTGGTAAGGAGGGGGTGTGGGGGGGGGGGAAATACCGTATTTTTCGCTCCATAAGACGCACCTGACCATAAGACACACCTAGGTTTTAGAGGCAGAAAACAGGGAAAACAAATTCTGAACTAATGGACTGCAGACATAGTACAGAAGATGACCAGAGACTGCGGACAGCACAGGGATGACCAGAGACTGCGGACAGCACAGGGATGACCAGAGACTGCGGACAGTGCAGGAGATGACTGCTGACCTTTGGGGAGGGGGGGGGAAGCGGGTACCTGAATTTGACAGGTACTCGCTCTTACTTCCGTGGAGTTGTTCTTTGATCTTACCTGTTCCTCTATCCAGCCGCGCACTGTCTTCCCGGCTTCTGTAGTGTGGGCGCTCGGCATGACATCCGGGTGCCCAGTGCGCATGAGCGAGAAGCACTTGTGCTTTGTGATTGGTCCGGTGGCTTCTGGGATCTGTCATGTGCCCCAGGTACTGCCTTACCATTCACAAAAAGCACCGCTTCTTGCGCATGCGCACTTGGCACCCGGCTGTCAAGCCCAGCGCCCACACTACAGAAGCCGGGAAGACAGCGCGCCGCTGGATAGAGGAACAGGTAAGGTCAAAGAACAACTCCGCGGAAGTAAGAGCGGGTACCTATTAAATTCAGGTACCCGCTCCCCACCTCCCCAAAGGTCAGCAGTCATTTCCATAAGGTCCCGCTGCAGAGCTGAGCGGCCGGCCCGGTATTCTGACACGACGGCGGTGGAAATACCGGACCCGCTGCTCCATATTCGCTCCATAAGACGCACTGACATTTTCCCCCTTTTTTTGGGGGAAAAAAGTGCGTCTTATGGAGCGAAAAATACGGTACTTCCAGATGAGGGGATAACTGCTTTAAGAGACTGAATATGGTGATATCTCTTGATAGTGAGTTGTCTGATGAATGTGTTAAGATCTTTGAATAATGAAAAAGAATTAGGGCCTATGGTGGGGCAAAATTAAGTCCTTGTTTCCATGTTCGTCCCCCTCTACATTTTCTTTTGTGAACTTTCTTTTTAGGTTGCTGTTCTGAGGGGGACTTTTGCATAAAAAAGGTTGGAGAGTAGGGGTGGAGACAGTCTCGATGGTCAAAGGGTTTAGTGATAGGTGAAACAGTGGTCTTGTTGCGATGGGTGGATGGTTTGGGAGTAATAACAGATGGATTATGGGAAGGAGGATTAATAATGTGGGGATCTGAAGTATGAAGAAGATTATTACTATTGTTCGAAATCGGAATGCAGGGGGATAGGTGAAGGATTGTTATCCGAGGTATAGGTTGATGATATGGTGGATGGGTTGTTGGTCATATGTGGAGTAGACTTGGGGGTAATGAGGGTGGTCCTCTGCATGGTATTAACCTCCCTGACGGTCTAACTAATCAATATTTTTGAATGTCAAAGCGATACATTGTTTTTCATGGAAATTTGTTGTTTTATATTGTTTTATATTGTAGGCCTGTAATTCTTAGGAATAACTAACTTAAATTTGTCCAAACAAGAGTCTAGTAAACATCTCAGGTATGATAAAGTCTGAAACACGAAATAATAAATTATAATATAATACATAATTATAAAAAAATAATAATATAATAACAATACATTTAATTCAATAATGTAATCAAACCAAAAACACTGAAATTTGAAATAGAGCACCAAGTTCACACATCACTGAGCTCAGTCGCAGAATTGTTTTCAGTTTCTGATGAATTTCCCCACGAATCACTATTGCTCAATTCTGCATGTGATTCTAATTCAATATCGCTGTGTTCTAGCTGGTCTAAAACCGCTTTTGACCTAAAGGGACACTTTTTGGATGCCATGGACAGAAAGAACAGTAAAAGTGCAGGCAGGGCACTGGACAAAGCACTAGGGACAAAATTTAGGTGAAATGGTTTTGATACAGTAATCTAATACTAAGAGATTACAGTTAGAGATGAGCGAATTATTCAAAAATTCGGTTCGGCTGATTCGCCGAATTCGCCGATTAAATTCGCTTCGTGCCGAATATATTCGCTGCGAATTTAACTTATAAAAAGGGTGTTTCTAGGCTTCAGAGAGCCTTTATATTAGTGCAGAACACTGTACCTTTAATTTAAATGCCCTTGGAGTCTGCTGGGGAAGAGAAATAATACTGTCAGTCAGTATGACATGCAGATGAGTGCCGTTGATCTTAGAATCA